CTATAAAAAATTAAAGGATTGTTGATTGCATTTTGTTTCTATGCATATGGTATTACAATCTGATAAGAAATCGGTGTCTAATGGTTGTAACAGATGGTATAGATGTAGGTATGATATGTAAGATGAGTGATACATGGAGGATTAGCTTTAGAACTACAAATTATTCCAGGGATAATAAAATATGCAGGATCTAGCAGTAGCATTGTCACATAAAAAAAGTTGACAAAATTATTTTTCAAATAATAAAAGAGTTGTCGATGTGGGTTTATATTAACTTCCTTCTGTCCAATGGCATAATAGCCTAAATTGAGCCTTGGTCTCCTCTAGTTTCTGCCTTCAATATACGTGGTCATTCCTGCTCCGAGGCATAATCCTGTTTCTATGAGTGTTAAAGTCTATCAGTAAAGTGCTAACCTGGCTGTAGACCCCCTCCTCCGTTATCCGGGCTTGGGACCAGTAACAGTTCTGTCGAGCTACTCGATCCACCCAAAAAAACTGCAGCTACATGGAAAACATAGAAATAAAAATATTCTGCTGCGTAGACGAAGCAATATTGATAGCCCAAGATGAAGATAGTCTGCAAAGACTGGTCCACAGATTTAACATAAGAGCAAAATAATTTAATATGGCAATCTCACCTCAGAAAACTGAAACAGCAGTAGTCAGCAAATAACCAACCAGATGCAAAATATAAATTGATGACATCAGTATTGAACAAGTAATGGAAATAAAATACCTGGGAATTACACTGTCCACCTATGGAGACCTGGACAAAGGAGTGAGAGATCAAGTACAAAAAGCAAATAGACTGGCAGGATGCATTAATAAGACTATATGGCGAAACAGATACATTAATACTGAGATGAAGTCAAGAATTTATAAAGCCAATGTAAGACTTATAATAACATATGCCTCAGAAACAAGCCACATCGCAAAGGCTACTAGAAACGTCAGAGATGAGAGTACTGAGAAGAATTATAGGAAATACGCTGAGAGATCGAAAGAGACGTAAAGACATTACAAGAAAATGTAACGTACAGTGTATAAATGAATGGACACAAAAAAGAAAAAAAAAAGAATGGAATAAAGTAATAAGAGATAAGTCACCAATATGCAAAAGAAGTATCGGACGACCACGCAAAAATGGAGTGACAAACTTCCATAGAGGTATTAATCCGCCAATAAACAAGCAGAATTGCTTATAAAGAGGAAGAAGAAGAAGAATATACGCGGTTAGACTCTACTTGCCTCCAAGTTATAATGTTCAGGAAATTGTGTGCATCCGCTGACACTTTCCTCTCACATCGTTTATGTGACCTTCCTTTTGTTACTCTGCCTTGAATTGTACCATCTACAGAAGTCTGTCATCATCCATCTTGACTACATGAACAGCCCATCGAAGTATATTGAATTAATGTTGGCAAAAGTAGAGACAGCTACTCACAGTTCAAATTTTTTTTTGGTGGTAAGATTTGGATGACCAGTTTCGGAGTTTGTAATATTTACATTATTATCAGTCCCAGCAGTACAAACTTATAGATATCAATATCTGGAGGTCAATAGAATGATGGAAGAAAACACCAATTCTATAGAGAAAATAACCCTCAATGGTGGGAAAATATCTTGAACACTTGAAGATAGTTATTTTAGAATTTTTATATTAGAATTAAAATTTGTTCTATAAATTTTTTTGTAAAACGAATACTCCCACACAAAGCACATTACCAACATATATAGTGTTTTAGCTCAGCGAATTTAAAAATAATTTTGGGAACAGTTAATTTGGACTTTATAAAATATAAGTAGACCAAACAAAGGCTTTCGATTTCATCCAGGTCCAGTTCTTTGCATAAAATTATTTCGTTTTTAAATTTATTATTTCGTTCTAGTTTTAAATGCAATATTGTAGATTTTTAGCTGTGGTAGCTTAACAATAATTAACTTAACATTAACAAAATATAAATATTATATTTATAAGAAAAAAACCAACTAAACAAATTATTCTAAATAATTAAATTAAAATTAAAGGCATTTTTAAAAAAATCAGATAATCCAATTATATGTGCGAACAAACCACCATTTTGCGCTAAACAAAATCCGAATCTATTAAAACTCTCAATGCATTTAGCTGTTTTGGTTGTAGATTTGAACAATTTTTTCTTGCAATTCTGCTAAATTGGTGACTCGTTCAAATTCATGCCGATATAATTTTGATTTTAGCAAACCCCAGAAATGAAAATTCAAAGGTGCTAGATCTGGTGATCTGGGGGCCATTTTATTGTTTCTCGTGTAGAAATTAATCGTCCAGGGAACGTTTGTTTCAAATAATTTGTAACTTCGATTGCATTATGTGCTGGGCAAGCATCCTGTTGAAATCAGACACCATCGAAGTTGACTACAAGGTTTCGAACTGCTGGAATAATCTGATTGCGTAATAAATCTAGATGCTTACGTCCATTCAGATTTCCCATAATAAAAAATGGACCAATTATTATCGTTATAAATTCCAGTCCACACATTTAATTTCTTTAGGTATTGTGTTTTCACAGTAATACTCAAATGTCTATTTTCCCTGACCAATAGCGAACGACAAATGGATTATGACGTTTATGGATTGTGAATGAAGATTCATCGGAAAACAAAAAAATTTTTAAAAAGTTATTGTTCTCATTCGATTTCTCCATCATAGTTTCACAAATTTCCATGTTTAAAATGATCGTCTGGAAAAAGTTCTTGGGTGCTTTGCACTTTATACCAATTGTATCTATTTCTTTTTAAAATATTCCTTACAGTTCTCAATTTATTATGTCAACTTCATCCGCAATTTGTCTACTCGTACAAGGCGTTTCTTCAACAGTATGATTACTTAATGTAAGTTTTGTTGTCGCGCCTGATACCCAGGCTGAGCATCGTCTGGAGTTTGATGGAAATTTGTTACAAAATCAGTACAAACTTGTTACTTGGAGGTTTTTGGGGTCGCTAATCACAAATATCGTGATAATGATGGTATCCGAGTTACCTAGTGCCCAGAAAGGGCATCGTCTCCTGGAGTTTGTGCTGATTTTATTTCGAATTTCCACAAAACTCCAGGAGACGAGCCTCGTTCTGGGCAACAGATGCCTAAGAGACCATCGCCGTCATGATATTCGTGATCAGTGATCCCAAAAAATCTCGAGTAACAAGTTTGCATTGATTTTGTATCGAATTTCCATAAAACTGCAAACGAGACCCATCCTGGGCTCCCGTAAAACCCTCGAGTAGTAATATTTAACTCATTTCTAAATTTATTATGCTTCATCATTTCGAAATACACTTTGGAAAATGCATTTTCCTTGTTACTACAGTGAATGAAGGTAAACATCAACTTTTACTTTCGATTTTGGTGAACCTTCATCGATTTGCATGAAAATTTGTGATTGAGTATATTTTACCCCCAACTTCAAAAATAACATATGCTTAACTTGCACTATTTGCATTTTAAATGCAACCATGTTAAAAATGGTAAAAAAATGCAGATTTAAGCATTCTGGCATAAGTTTTCTCGATTAATTAAATAAAATAAATATTTTGCAATATTTATAAGCATGATTTATGATTTTAATTAATTTTTTAACCCTTTTATCAACTATCCCTTCAATCGAAAATCATGAATAAATCATTTTTTATATTCCTGAAATATCAAATCGCATATTAATATTACCCAAATATTTTCTCTAATGTGTATATTATAATTTTTGATTGACTTTGAAATTACAACCCTTAAAAACCACACCCTTAAAGCAGAATCGTTGAAAAAATTAAGTTCAAAAAACTTTAATTATTTGAATAATACATTACTGAATTGAAATCTCATTTACTGACTATTACAGTATTTATTTATTTATTGCCTGATTTTGCACCCTTAAAAACTACCCGTTGTTATAAAAATAATGGAAAATGTTTTTTTATTAGCTTTAATAGCTTTAATCATTTAGAAACTTTTTTATTGGTTATGATAAACTTTATTAATGTATTCCAAACTTTATTAATATTATTCTTTCGACATTTCCTAAACAATTTTTTCAGTGGTTATGTGATTTATAAAAATTTAATTTGTTAGTTAAGAGGAAAACGTATTAAAATAAATATTAAAATATATAAAAAGTTCATTCATTTTTTATAATGTAGGTACTGTTTCATAAATTAATCAAATATTTCATCTCCAATTTCTCCTTCTTCATTAATTTGAGGGGTATTTTGGCAATTGTCCCCACTACATGATCCGCAGAGTGCATTGCAAAATAACCCTACTCTTCGAAACAAGCAAGAAGCGCCGCACCCTTTTTTGCAGTTGCAAAAAATCATTTTTCATAATTCTTCTGGAGCAGGGGAATTGGGATTTTTAGTTGGAAACAAAGACTCTTTATAAGATAAATTTTGTTTAGATTAGGCCCCTCTATCGATTTCTGGGGTTATTTTTAATAAAATTATTTTCACCCCCGAGAAGGGGTGGTATCCACCCCCAGGGTAAAAGCGCAAGTTGACACCATGTCACTTTTGTTTCTTAAGGTAGATTCTATCCTCTAACTACTCATCAATTTTCATGAAAATCGATGGAGGTTCAAAGAAAATTGGAGTAGTGTGAAGCTTCAGTGATACTATGTTCAATAATGCAATTTTTATTTCGACATCATCACTTGAGTTCAAAACACTCTTACGAATCGAATTCAACAAGTTTCATTAAGATTCATCGGGTTTTATTTATCCATCCATTAGATTTTATTTATTATTATTCCCAGTAATTTCGAGACGTCTTATATTTCGTCTTCTTGATATCTGCAGCATAAAATTGGATAAGGTTTATGTTGGATAAATTGGCTTTAAGACATGTAGGTAGGTGTTATTCGTTCTTTTATAATATTACATTTCAGAACCGAATCATTAAAGTTGTTTTTCATTAAAACGGTAACTCCATTGTGACTATGATTTTTTGGACCTAAATAATAAAAAAAAACTAAATATAGATTGGAATCATTTATTTGTTTTAAATAATAACATATCGTATCATTTTTTACCCTAATGGTATATGAAGTAAACAAAGATGATGATGTTACATTCCTTGTTTATTTTTTCTTAGTCAAATCATCAGTAATGTTAAAGAAATCTTCCATTTTCGACTCAAAAGAACTCTTCCATTACCAATTTAAAAAAAATGATTCAATATCTTCATAACTATTCTACATTCTGGCGAATGACTCAAATCTTCTTGCATTCAACCGTAATATACTTGACATAATTTCCCAAAACACTGGAAAATGGTTTTCCTCTGGTGTAAAATTTGTCGAAACTTATTTTATCGACAATAGTCCAGCCCATCTTCCTTCCAATCTTTTGAGAATATGGTGACGTAAAGAGTGCGGACACTGCTTGAGGAGTTGGTTCTAATGGCAAAACTCTTCCATCGAGCGACTGTTTTACATTCTGTTTCATTTTCAGTGCTCTTGCCAGTTCAGTTGATGCTTCACACAGTTGCAAAGCAATTCCTCTCTTTGTAAAATCAGGTGAAGTAGCTAGGAACATGATTTCCATGACACTACTGGCATTGAACGGTGTGAATACATCCATCAATTCGTCACATGTGTCCATGAATTTGAATATTTCTTTGGTTGCTCTTCTCTTATACACGTTCATGTAGTTCTTGTAATAATTTTTGCCGCTTGGTCCTTGGTCGATCTAGAAGAAAAAGAAGTTGTTATTAAGAAGGACTTACTTTTATAAAGTTGTAAAAGACTTTGACTACTACTTTGACTATTCGACAATAATAAAAATTCAAATAATTAATTTCATATTATCATACAGTACCATACCTGAATTTTGTTGAAAGCAACACCACAAACAATATTAGTTGCTTTCTCTACGGCTACTATGGAAATTCCTCCTTTAGCTACGTCAATCATGTAGCTATCCATTTCGGCCATAGCTTCGAGGTCTTCCGACAAACCTACAGCAAAACATCCTGCTTCATAACGATAAAAGCTTTTCCGCAGGACATCCAAGGCGTCCTCGAGATATTCTGATGTCAATGAAATGTACTCGATTGCACCTATTGAATTAAATAAAATTAGATTTAATAGATTTAATACGATGAAATTATATAATATTTTCCTTTTCGTTAATTTATATATTTTTATAAAAATCCACTATTGTGTTGCATAGGGAGATCGAAGGTTGTTCTGAAGCTATTTTCTTGTGGCATTTGAAAATAAGAGCAAAACACACAATTACAAGAAAAGCAAATAAAATCAAGTGATTTAACTTAACCAATGTTAAGAAGATATTAGGAAAAAAGAGTGCTAAAGAAAAATGCCATAAACAGAAAAGGAAGAGCACAAAACTTAATAAACAGTGGAAAGAAAGAAAGAAAGAATATAGTAAGAACTTTTTCCAAAAAAATAAAAAATATTACTAGTACTATAAAAAATCAATTTTCTCTGTTCAAATAGTAATAATGGGTAAAACTAGACAGATGGAAAAAGTATTTTGAGGAATTAGTAAATACCGAGTATCCTGAAGAAAATAAAATAAACTGACTTAAATTTAAAGAAGAAAAATTAGGTGATGGAGTGTACGAGCTAACAAAAATGGAAGAGAAAGAGATGTTTACATTTTGGAACAGATCACTTCTGATAGCAATACTCAAAAAAGAAAGAAACAGGTTTGAGTAACCTTTTACACCAAAAATTGTATGACATCATTCTGAGAGTATGGTAACAACAGAAAATGCCTAGAGAATGGAATGAAAGCGTTATAATTCCCATAAATAAGAAAGAAAACAAAGAACAATTCCAAAACTATAGAGGCATATCGCTTATTAGCACATCATATAAAGTGCTATCAATTATCTTGCTAGAGAGAGTCACACCATATTCGGAAGATATTCTAGGCGACTACTAATGCGGCTTTCGTGCTGTAAGGTCAACTATAGATCAGATATTTACCATTCGACAAATATTAGAGAAAAACTGGGCATTCAACCGCGATGTGCACCCAAATTTTCATAGTTTTCCAGCAAGCATATGATTCCATAAAAAGAAGCAAATTGTGGATAGAAATGGGAATACCAAGAAAATTATTTGAATTAACGCAAATGTGCGTGACAGACTCATATGCGCAAGTAAAGATAGGGAGCAGCACATCGATGCCATTTGGTATAACTTCAGGACTTAGTCAGGGAGACCCCTTGAAACCGTTGCTGTTCAATTTTGCTTTAGAATATGCAATTAGTAAAATATCGTCTAGCTGACAGGAGGATTTGCTGATCAAAAACCAAAACTGTTGCGGGTCTTTGCTGATGATATAGATACAGTCACACATTCTACAAGAGACGTGAGAGAGGTGTTTTCACAGTTCGAGAAGGAAACAGGTAGTGTGGGACTCCGAATAAATGAAGAAAAGACGAAATACATGGTAGTAACCAAAAATCCAAGACCAAGAGTTAGGCAGAACATCAGTACTAATTATCACAACTTCAAAGTAGTAAAGGAGTTTAAATACCTGGGGACGATAGTCACAGGTGACAACCACATAGAAAAAGAGGTCTCAGCAAGGATAGCTGCAGAAAATAAAGGATTATACTCCCTTATACGCCAATTATTACATATGGCAGTGAAACATGGACTATCAACCAGCGGGAAAACTATAAGCTTCTAGTATTTGAGGGAAAGGTTCTCAGAATAATATTCACAGGGAATTGGAGAATACGCCGCAGTGCTGAATTGGTGACTCTGTATGGAACTGAAAATATATTTAGACATATCAAGGCAAACCGAATAAGATGGGCAGGTCAGGTGGTAGAATCAGAAGACGACAGAGTGTTAAAGACAGTGTTTTTTGAAAGACCAGATGGTAGAAGATCAGTAAGCCGACCGAGCAAAAGATGGAAGGATGATGTTGAAGCCGATTTATCTAGAATTGGGGTACAACAATGGGAAATAGAAGCGCAAGATCGTAGATGATGGAGGGCGATAGTAGATGCGGCGAAGACTCCCCCGAGTTATAAAGCCAGAGAAGAAAAAGAAGAAGGTTTGAATAAACTATAAAGGAGTCAGATATTGGTTTATTATAATAATGTTACGATTGTATCTAGATCTACTGCTGTACTAAGGGAGGTGTGCAGACCTATATCAGAAAACTTTGTCAACAACGAAAGTAAGTCCAAGGGTATGAAACTACTAGCATCACAAGCCAAATTAAAAGAATAGAAAATAATGAGCTATACAGACCAACAAATCAGTATTCAATAGGCAAATTCTGTTCGTTGAAACTATTAAGAACAGAAAAACTAGAACAAATGGAAATAAATTAGATCATAGAAAAAATAACAAAGGATCTAAAGACTTCGGTTAAAAAGATATGCTCACTCATGAACAAAAGTTGCAGGAAATTCGAAGGTTAGCTTCAATACCCTATTACTAACCGAAGAAAGAAGATTTTCTAGACTCTCCATCACGAAAGTTTAAAAATCTCAATAATAAAACAAAAAAGGCAATAGATAAGATCGGCCATTATACCTACAATACAAAGCTTATAGAAAAAGTCATTGACAATAACTATAAAATGAAGGTTCTTCGAACGCAGTTAACAATAGACAAATCAAAAGTACTAAAAAACCATCCCACCTTGAAAGTGATCATAAAGCGTTTAACCAACAAACTGGACTTCTACCAATCGGTAGAACAAGCTGATTTCAGGAAAGGATTCAGTGAAATTGATTACCTTCATAATGGACGAATGCTAATATAAAATGTACAGAATACAGAATACCGCTACACTCGGCTCTTTTAGATTATCAAAATGCCTTTGATTCTATTAAAACCTGGTCAGTTATAAGATCCCTATAAAATGGAATAATAGATGAAAAAACCAAAACTAAAAAAATACGAAAAAATCGGGGAGTTAAACAAGGAGATATTTGACACTATTACACAGAAAGAAAAAGAAGGAGTTTGACTAAATAATGAAAATAACAACATTAAAATAATTAGGTCATTTAGAAAAGGCGAAAGAGAAAAAGGTATACTAAAGATCTTTATATAAACGGAGATAAACGATGCAGCGGAAAAGAAAAAAAGGGAAATAAAAAACAGGGCACCTATACATCAATCCTTTTGATGTGTTTGAGTAAAACTCCAAAGGAAAGATGAAAGAAGTAAACAGACATATATCTATAATAGAAACCCCAACGGGCGAGCATGGTCCTCCATGGTCTGTCAATGGTCACAGATGATGATGAAATCAAGCAGTCAAACATATCTAAATAATTTAGATATGTTTGACTAGGATACTAATGTTTTTATTAGTTTATGATATAAAATAATAAATATGTAAATAAATAAAAAAATATTTATCATCTAAAATTTTAAATAAAAATAAATATTTGGACTCACCGTCGTTGCTTGCTGCCCAGACTTTTTTCTGCACCATATTTTTTTAATTAGTAAATAACCCTAAAGTTATAAACAGAAAATTTCAAATAGATCAATATCTACCAGTGAAGGTCAGGAAAGAGTTGAATGTAGCTCTGAAGGTTTGTACCACTAGACAGTCTATATATACATATTTGCAAATTTGTCGAATTACCGTGTTTGTATTTTCTTATCAGCGTTACTAATGTTTAGATAAGTATTTTTTGTGCACTTGGGAAATTATTATAATATCGGATATTGTAATGCTTTAAGGATATTTTATTGTATTGATCAATTATGTAAAACAATATTATATCCTCTCATTATGGAACACCTGAGAAATGATTATCTCATTGATGCTAAGCTAAATAATGATTTTTAAGAGATAAAAGAAATAGTCATCTTGCAACCTAAACCTTTTATAAAAACAGTTTTAAATATTGCAATACTTCTCAAGCTACAAGTGTTTTGTTATTCATCTTCAAATTAAGAGCACTAAATAATATTTAGTAGGGTAAAATTTTCCATTGTCAGTACCTTAGCATGTTAGTCAAAAATGTAATTATCAATATTCTCCTTTCAAAGATTGGCGATCCAAATGGCAATTGTAGTTTTGGAAACTGCTGCGCAAAAGATTTCTGCGGATGAGCGGTTGAACCATCTCCTCAGGTCTTTCAGCCATGAATTGTGGCGTCTTCCTGTACTGATCTTTTGCCCTGTACTTTTCCTTCCAGTATTCTTCTTCTTCAAGTGCCGTCTCCATCAATGGAGGTTAGCGGTTATGGTGGCAAACGTTTGTCTATCTTCAGCTGCTCTTAAGAGTTCCTCAAATCTAAGTCCTGTCCAGTTTCTGATATTACGTAACCAGGACAATTTTTTTCTTCCAATTCCTCGCTTTCCTTCTATTTTGCCTTTTATTATTAACTGAGGACTTGCTTTCCAACTATTTTGCCTTTTATTATCATTACTTCAAGTTATCCTTCCAGTATAACTTGAAGTAATTCATATCTTTCGCCTCTCAACACATGACCCAAGTAATGCACTTTCATTACCTTAGTTATTCTCAAGTACCTCAATATTAGTAACTCTTTGTACCCATGGAATTCTCAACATTGAAGCAACATGGAACGTCAACATTCGTCTGTATATATACACCTCAAAGGCATCTATTCTTTTTTCTATTTCAGAGCCCATTGTCCAACTTTCACACCCATACAGTAAGATAGAAAAAACGTAACATCTAATCATTCGGATTCTAAGCTGCAGACTAAGGTCTGATCTTGTAAAAAACGTTTTCATGCGCATGAATATTTTTCTTGCTTTTTCGAATCTTGATAGTACTTCTTTTTTCGGATTACACTGACTATTAATATCTGCTTCCAAATCTTTGTCTTTGAAAGTACTAAAGTTTTAGTTTTTTTCGAACCGAACCGAAACCGAACATTTCGCTGTGGTGAACTACCGCATTTATTATATTTTGTAGTTCTTGTTGCTTGCTATTAAGACAGTATCATCAGCATATCTGATGTTTATGCTGATTCCGTTAATCTTAATTCCGCCTTGGACCTGGTCTAATGATTCTCTGAATATACACTTCGAATACAAATTAAACAGTAGCGGTTATAAGACGCAACCCTGTCTCACTCCTCGTCAGATTTGTATACCTTCGGATGTTGTGTGCTCTATTTCAATTGTTGCCATTTGGTGCCAGTATAGTTCTTAGACAATTCGCAAGTCTTGTTCGTCAACTCCAGTTGTTCTCAGAATTTCGATCATCTTTTGATGGTCAACTCAGTCAAATGATTTACGATAGTCAATAAAACATGCACATACATCTACATTCATGTCTCTGAATAGTTGCGTTAACACATTTAAAGCAAAAGAAGCCTTTCGTGTTCCCAATCCGTTTCGAAATCCGAATTGTGTCACTCGTCTGGAACTCACACTTCTTGTAAATTCATGTATGGATAATTCTGAGAAAATTTTTAAGGTCATGAGGCATCAAGCTTAATATTCGATAATTTTCCATCTTTCTGAGATTTTACTACGTGAATCACTTCTTCTTTGGTTATTTCGGGGCCTTTTTCATTTATTCGATTATCTGTGGATGGTGGAGAACAAGGTCTATCGTCGTCAAAAAGAGTTTGTATGTATTCTTTCCATCTCTCTAGTTTGTCTTCTGTACCCATAATTATTTCCTTGTCTCTCTTTATGTCTGTTATTTTTTTACTTTTTTATGAATATTAAAGATGTCGTATTTTTCCTGAAGTTGTTCGATTTCTAGGCATTTTGTTGACATCCAGTTTTCTTTCGCTTCCCTGCACTTTTTTCTAATGACTTTATTGATTCGCTTATATTCTATTGGGCTTGTTTTATGTTTTCGTCTTACGTCCATGAGGTCCAAGATCTCTTGCGTTATTCATTCTTGTTTTTGTTGTGTTTTATGAACCCGATGCCTTCTTCTTGTATCTTTGTTATTTTTGTTTTTAGAGCAGTCCATGTCACTTCAATGTTTTCGATCGTTTTTATTTCTTCCTCAAGCTTGATACTTATTTCTTTTTTTTCTGTTCAGGTTCTTCAGTTGTGAGATATCTATTTTTCTTGTCACTGTTTCCTTTTTGACTCTGAGAAATCTTTTTAATCTAAAATCCATTATAACTGGATTGTGATCGCTATGTATATCAGCTCCAGGGTATGTTTTCGTAGATTGTATGTACTTCTTAAATATGTTATTGAGTAAAATGAAGTCAATTTGATTTCTAACAATTCTGTCTTTTCTGTCTGCAAGTGATTTCCATGTATATAGCGTTCTAGGATGTTGTTTGAAGAAGGTATTACCTATTAACAGATTGTTTTCTACGTAGAATTGTACAAGTCTAGTAGATAGGCTATGTACTTCCTGGACCAACCCCTAAATTGCAACCCCTAAAATCGCAACCCCCGGTCGTAAGTTCCAAACGGCTAAACGTAGGATGACGTACGAGGGCTCGTTGGAAAGGGGATGAAAAATGGGGTTGAACGCAGTATGTGCCGTGCGCATCGGAGCATGCCAAAAGGTCATTATGGGGTATCTTCGTTTCTATTGGTCCGATCGTGACGTACGAGGGCTCGTTGGAACGGGGAGAAGGCGGGGAGACAAAAAACAAAGATGGCGGCGTTGCCAAATGGGCGTTAAAACGTATCTTCGTTGCTATTGGTTGGATTTTGACGTATGAGGTGTCAAAGCGTTGGATGTCACGTGACATTCGACGCAGAACGTGACATTTGTCACAGAACGTGACATTCGACGCAGGACGTGACATGTATGTGACATTTGTCACAGAACGTGAAATGTCAAGTGACATTCGACGCAGGACGTGACATTCAACACAGAACGTAAAATGTCACGTGACATTCAACGCGGGACGTGACATTCGACACAGAACGTGAAATGTCGCGTGAAATGACGTGACATTCGACGCAGGACGAGACATTTGACGCAGGGCGTGACATTTATGTGACATTTGACATAGATCGTAAAATGTCACATGAATTGACGTGACATTCGACGCAGATCGTGAATTGACGTGATATTCAACGCAGGACGTGACATTTATGTGACATTTGACGCAGAACGTTAAATGTCACGTGAAATGACGTGACATTCGACGCAGGATGTGACATATATGTGACATTTGACGCAGAACGTGAAATGTAGGAATTACGTGACGTGAGACGTTTTGACGTAACAGTTATGTGTCAGTCAAGACATCGCTTGACATAAAACGTGACATTCAACATAGGACATATTCAGTAGGAATGCGTAGGAGAAATAAACATATCTTTCATTAAAATATCTTTTATTATTGAGTTACATATAGATACAAGTTATATACAACACTGAAACTTGAATATTAAAAAAGACATAGACATGTAGAAGTATTGTTTATTTACATTAGTTCCAAAAGCACTTCTTTATAATCTTCCTCCATCTTTAGTAAGCGATTAGGATATGCCAGCCAAAATCGTCCCTTTTTCACAAAACCTAGTAGTTCAAGTAGCGTTTTATTCAGGTAACCTCTATTCAAATATCGTATAAGGGTATTTCGTCGATCAGTAGTTTTAATTATGTGATGTAATTTAATTTGAACGTCGTCTGTTAATGCCTCTATTTGCGTTTTTATGTGTAAAAGTTGTTCTTCTCTAAGTATTCGTTCTGCTTCCAATCTCCTTTGATCTTCAATTCGCAGGTTTGTCAATTGTTTTTTACATGTTTCACATAATATGTACCTAGTCCTAGTATCGTTCCAATCGTTCATTTCGAATAGTTCTATACAACCGCAAGGTTTTATAGTTTCACTTAATGTCTCATAAGGCATTGTGTCTGCTAACCAGAGGAATAAATGTAAGAGACTTCTGAAGAGGTATCCCAAACGTTTAAGAAAAGAACTAGCATACGCCAGAGTGCTATTCTCTGCACTCACAGATACAGAGAGCAACAATAAGGCATGTAAACAGACCAGCACCTTGATTTATACTAATTTCCAAAAAATTGGTACTATAGTTATTTATACAAAATTCACAAAAACGGAATTATATACTGAAATATTAAGACAGAAATATTTTAAATAATAATATGTTAAAATTGTGCATTTGATAGCAAACCGGATGAAGCCTCATGATAACAATACACCGCGTTGTTCAAAACACGTAAACAAGTGTGATAACAAATTTTATTTTAATCATTGGAAAAACAAGTACACCGGAAAGAAAACCGCAGTTGCTACATTTTGTAAAATGTATGAAGATATCAGCAACCACATCAACAAAATTCTAAATTGATAACAACGATTCTCTTACCGCAATATCAATTTATTGTATACCATAAATATTAGTTGAAGAAATAAAAATAAATATAAAAATATTAGCATTTCTAGAACAGCACACGTTGCTTATCTATGAAACGAATCAGTTGATTGTACCGTAGGCACATTAGGTTGACGCAACTCGGGCTCGGGTGGGGCGATATGCTGTTCTGTTCTTTAAAAGGCCGAGGAGCGCATACGGTGTCACAGTTCGCTTCGCAAACGTACTACAACAACAAGTTCGCAGTAGTCAATACGG